CGGAGATATTGCAAATCAGGCACTTCCACCAACAATTTTAAAATTTTGTTTGTTTAGTCTGATAGGTGAGATCGCCACCAATAATCTAAAACAATTTTCACAACGATACCACCAACCATTCCGGAGATATTGCAAATCAGGCACTTCCACCAACAATTTTAAAATTTTGTTTGTTTAGTCTGATAGGTGAGATCGCCACCAATAATCTAAAACAATTTTCACAACGATACCACCAACCATTCCGGAGATATTGCAAATCAGGCACTTCCACCAACAATTTTAAAATTTTGTTTGTTTAGTCTGATAGGTGAGATCGCCACCAATAATCTAAAACAATTTTCACAACGATACCACCAACCATTCCGGAGATATTGCAAATCAGGCACTTCCACCAACAATTTTAAAATTTTGTTTGTTTAGTCTGATAGGTGAGATCGCCACCAATAATCTAAAACAATTTTCACAACGATACCACCAACCATTCCGGAGATATTGCAAATCAGGCACTTCCACCAACAATTTTAAAATTTTGTTTGTTTAGTCTGATAGGTGAGATCGCCACCAATAATCTAAAACAATTTTCACAACGATACCACCAACCATTCCGGAGATATTGCAAATCAGGCACTTCCACCAACAATTTTAAAATTTTGTTTGTTTAGTCTGATAGGTGAGATCGCCACCAATAATCTAAAACAATTTTCACAACGATACCACCAACCATTCCGGAGATATTGCAAATCAGGCACTTCCACCAACAATTTTAAAATTTTGTTTGTTTAGTCTGATAGGTGAGATCGCCACCAATAATCTAAAACAATTTTCACAACGATACCACCAACCATTCCGGAGATATTGCAAATCAGGCACTTCCACCAACAATTTTAAAATTTTGTTTGTTTAGTCTGATAGGTGAGATCGCCACCAATAATCTAAAACAATTTTCACAACGATACCACCAACCATTCCGGAGATATTGCAAATCAGGCACTTCCACCAACAATTTTAAAATTTTGTTTGTTTAGTCTGATAGGTGAGATCGCCACCAATAATCTAAAACAATTTTCACAACGATACCACCAACCATTCCGGAGATATTGCAAATCAGGCACTTCCACCAACAATTTTAAAATTTTGTTTGTTTAGTCTGATAGGTGAGATCGCCACCAATAATCTAAAACAATTTTCACAACGATACCACCAACCATTCCGGAGATATTGCAAATCAGGCACTTCCACCAACAATTTTAAAATTTTGTTTGTTTAGTCTGATAGGTGAGATCGCCACCAATAATCTAAAACAATTTTCACAACGATACCACCAACCATTCCGGAGATATTGCAAATCAGGCACTTCCACCAACAATTTTAAAATTTTGTTTGTTTAGTCTGATAGGTGAGATCGCCACCAATAATCTAAAACAATTTTCACAACGATACCACCAACCATTCCGGAGATATTGCAAATCAGGCACTTCCACCAACAATTTTAAAATTTTGTTTGTTTAGTCTGATAGGTGAGATCGCCACCAATAATCTAAAACAATTTTCACAACGATACCACCAACCATTCCGGAGATATTGCAAATCAGGCACTTCCACCAACAATTTTAAAATTTTGTTTGTTTAGTCTGATAGGTGAGATCGCCACCAATAATCTAAAACAATTTTCACAACGATACCACCAACCATTCCGGAGATATTGCAAATCAGGCACTTCCACCAACAATTTTAAAATTTTGTTTGTTTAGTCTGATAGGTGAGATCGCCACCAATAATCTAAAACAATTTTCACAACGATACCACCAACCATTCCGGAGATATTGCAAATCAGGCACTTCCACCAACAATTTTAAAATTTTGTTTGTTTAGTCTGATAGGTGAGATCGCCACCAATAATCTAAAACAATTTTCACAACGATACCACCAACCATTCCGGAGATATTGCAAATCAGGCACTTCCACCAACAATTTTAAAATTTTGTTTGTTTAGTCTGATAGGTGAGATCGCCACCAATAATCTAAAACAATTTTCACAACGATACCACCAACCATTCCGGAGATATTGCAAATCAGGCACTTCCACCAACAATTTTAAAATTTTGTTTGTTTAGTCTGATAGGTGAGATCGCCACCAATAATCTAAAACAATTTTCACAACGATACCACCAACCATTCCGGAGATATTGCAAATCAGGCACTTCCACCAACAATTTTAAAATTTTGTTTGTTTAGTCTGATAGGTGAGATCGCCACCAATAATCTAAAACAATTTTCACAACGATACCACCAACCATTCCGGAGATATTGCAAATCAGGCACTTCCACCAACAATTTTAAAATTTTTTTTGTTTAGTCTGATAGGTGAGATCGCCACCAATAATCTAAAACAATTTTCACAACGATACCACCAACCATTCCGGAGATATTGCAAATCAGGCACTTCCACCAACAATTTTAAAATTTTGTTTGTTTAGTCTGATAGGTGAGATCGCCACCAATAATCTAAAACAATTTTCACAACGATACCACCAACCATTCCGGAGATATTGCAAATCAGGCACTTCCACCAACAATTTTAAAATTTTGTTTGTTTAGTCTGATAGGTGAGATCGCCACCAATAATCTAAAACAATTTTCACAACGATACCACCAACCATTCCGGAGATATTGCAAATCAGGCACTTCCACCAACAATTTTAAAATTTTGTTTGTTTAGTCTGATAGGTGAGATCGCCACCAATAATCTAAAACAATTTTCACAACGATACCACCAACCATTCCGGAGATATTGCAAAACAGGCACTTACACCAACAATTTTCAAATTTTCTTTCTTTTGTCTCATAGGTGAGATCGCCACCAATAATATAAAACAATTTTCACAACGATACCACCAACCATTCCGGAGATATTGCAAAACAGGCACTTACACCAACAATTTTCAAATTTTCTAGGTTTGTTCATTGCGTTGCCCAACTGCTGAAATATTTCTTTGTCGATTCATTTTTGTTGGATTTCCTACGCTTATCACACACACACACTTCTAATATTTACCTTTTTAAATGTGGGAAATGCTTTGAAATGCAGCGACGTCATTCGTAACTTGCAGACATGAAGATCGAACATTTTTTCTTGGTTTATGTTAGTCTAATAATCTATGGTTCAAATTCTAGTTAGCAGCGGTTTCAGTACACAACCAACATGCTGATTACACATTCCCAGGAAGCAGGTGAGTCTGTTGCGATTTCGGTTAATAATGCTAATACTAATGAGTGCATTCTAGATAATAGAGAATCTTTTTCCAATACACTGTCGGACAGACAGAGGATGAACTTAAGAAGACGTACAATCAATTACAGACACTTATACTCCTGTTTAAGCTGTGGCGGATGTGGTATTTGAATGAACTAATGATTCCTTTGTACTTGTTGAATGCTTGAATTCGAATTCCAAATACAGTAGATTCGTTCGTGCTTATCTGGTACTTCTTGACCCAATTGCGTTATTTCTGGGATTCTTAGTTCATACTATATTTCAAATACTTATAAATAACACATATATGTATGCCGATCTCTACCTCTTTACATCCCACAGAAATGAATGAGTTATTGTCTCGTATCGAATGATGGTCTATTGTTACTGGTCTCATACTTAATCCATCTAAATATCAAGCTGTCAAATATAGCTTGAGACATGGACAGCATCTAAACACCATTTTGAGATCCAGTCAGGCTTATGCCATTGAAGACTCTTTGATAAGCACAGTGTCGAAAGTCAGTTATCGTGTTGTTACTTTCCCCTGATCTCTCTTGGTCTTCTCATGTTTTACTGCTATCGAAGGGAGTTTTCCGTCTGATTTACTACACAAAAAGGCTGCATGCTTTTGGGATTACTTGACACTTACTATTACAATTTTTCAATTCCTGCGTCTAACCTAATGTTCTTTACCGTTCTCCACTATTCTTTCACGAGATTTTGAGAAAAGACTTTGCTGTATTGCGGAGAGTGCTGAAGACAGTTTTCAAGGTGTGTGGTGAATCTTTCGAGGTCTTTATTAATATGGTTATGGATAGACATATAAATTCTTTCAAACTCCCAGCAGGTGTTAACAGATACCAACCATTCCCTTCACTCATATCTTTCTTCCTGTGTAGCTTCTGGTAGAAAGAGACGTAAATGCATTAAGATCCATGCACGCAAGCAAAGGTATAAAAGTTCTATTATGCCTAACCTAGCAAATATATTCCGTGACGAACAGGTTATTAGAGTTAACCTGGTCAATAACCTGTATGTTTAAACATGACTCTAATTTGAAAAGTTGTACAGATTCAGATCTTTTTTTCACCTTTTGTCCTTTCTTTTCTGTTTTTGTGGGAGAAACCTGTTGAAATACCTCTTTCTGTGAATTCTATAATGTACCAAAATATAATATTGAATAAAGCCATTAATAATAATAAATGTTCCTATTTAACATCTTGTTAATATTCTCCCTAACAGTAGGGTATATTTATTTTAGCAGATTGTCATTTAATAATTGAATAATTGTGACTTAGAAACAGATATTTAGTACTCCCAGCCTGGAGTTAACTCAACAGCGTTTAAGGTTTAAGTAAATGCAGATATCAAAAGGATGAAGGGTCAGCGGAAAGGATTGTCCAGGACGGAGTTGGATAAAGAATGCTGGTAAGCGGCCTATGCTCATCCACGAAGGGTAACAGGCATACGTGTATATATATATATACATATATACATATACATATATATATATATATATATATATATATATATATATATATATATATATATATATATATATATATATATATATATATATATCGTAGACGTGAAGTTACAAATCAATGTTTAGCCATAATGTGTTAGATAATAAATAACATTGTTTATTTAGGCTATGCTATTATAGTTGAAAATTAATTATAAACATTTGCCTGACTGCTTGTTTTTATTTCATGCTTCCTGTGAAATTCTAGCGGAATCCTGTATGCAAAATCCCAGTGATATAGTTTTGTCAACTGCTACACCGAATGCAGATATTCAATCCTATCCTCATAAATCCATTCAGCATACTTCAATCAATAATATCGGTTCCATAAAAGCTAGTGGTTGTCAGATGTGCTCATCAATCAGTTGTAACAATGATCAAAATACCGCAGAATCGTCAGCGAATTGTAGTGAAAACTTTACCTCAAGAAGTTCTGTTAATCGATCTACAGCTTTGTCAGACGACATGAGTAAGTTGTAATAAATGTTACTTAAAATTTTCTTGTTAATATTCTCCTAAATTGTACGGCATATTCCATTTAGCAGCATATTGTCATTTATTAATCGAATAATTATGACATAGATACAGATATTAAATACCTCTAGTTGAAAGTCGAGTGTTTCATTGTTTAGGTTCAAGTAAATATTTTGAGTGGATTATCTTTACACATAACTATGAAGTTTGAGCAACATGTTAAAGTATATGATGGAAATCGTTTGTGCACATCACAACATCACGCGAAAAAAGACAACCGAATAGCCTTACTTTTGAGAACTTCCATAAGTGTTTTCGACAATGAAAATAGGGTAAATGGACTGCCACAGATAGGCAGTATTTGGGAATAGATAAGTTTAAATAAAACCTGAATTAAATGATAAAAACTAATTTACAGTATTTGCATTTAATTCCAAGACCTAAAACCTTTGGTATTAGTTATGAACTGAACTACATCGACTTTCAGAATAACATTAACATAATAAAATAAGACGACACTCGTGTAACCTTAATGTTATTTCATCACTGAAACAAACATCCAACCAAATAGTCAATTGAGATGGTATTTAAATTACTTTAAAAGGGTACTCCCGATTTTCTGCTTTGCGGAATGTTCATATTTCCATGGGTTGCTGTGAAATGATTATGTATATATATACAGCCAACTTAATTTCAAGTTTTATTTATTTCGATGTTTTAGCGGACCATGAAGTCACTACCAGTATATGCTTAGATGCTTCTGGAAATCAATGCAAACCGTGATCAAGTGGTGACTCATTGAATGCATCAACAAATACAACTAATAGTAGTAATGAAATTAATAATTACAATAAAGCTTTCTGCATAAAGCAACCAGATCATATGCCTAGTTCATCATTTACATGTACAGCATTGTCATCAACTGTAACAGTTTAGAGTTGACGGCGTTAGAGAATATATTCGAAACCCTTTTCGGCTACATTTTACTGTTTCTTGTTCTACATGTAACTCTCCAATTTTTATATGCACTACTTCATTTAAGATTCCGATTTCTTGATAACTTTTTTTTCTACTATTTGTTAAGCGAGTGTACTTCAATTTGTCGTAACACTTTCTTGTGGTCTGTTGGTAGTTTGTTTGTACGTCAGTAGATCCATGTAAGTCTGAATAATTTGTACTGCTACTGCTACTTTGAAAAATAATGTAAGTTCAAAAATAATATTTCTCATCATTCATGTTACTGTATGTAGTTAGGTATATACTGTTGCTCTTCATTATTGTCATATTATCTTTTGTTTCCCTTGATGAACCTGTACTCATGTTTACAGTATATTTTCCTGATTTACTTCCCCACCCATTTACATTACATTTGTATTTTCATCCTGTGCACGACGGACGTTTTCCAACTAAATGTTTGTCTTCTACTGTACTGATAAAACTATGGTTGAAATGCTGTTAATAACATGTATGAAATGTAAATTATGTTACACTTGTCTAGAATTTGTTACGCCATCTTTAAAAACAAATCTGATCAGCGCTTCGATAAAGATAGAATTAAATACAGTTCAACTGACATGCGAATTCCTATCAATTACGCGAGACGTGATTCTAAAACAATAAGCTCCAACCTGAGTTACCAAGCTTAATCGAATGTTTACAACTAACTAGCTAATGTTAACTAGGGTTAGGAACAAGAGGCATCGGCGACAGAGTTTAAAATTCCAGGTGGTCTGTGTAAAACTGCTTTAAAATCCAATAAGCAGGTGAAGTAAATGTTGAAAACGAGGTCAAGAATATTCACTTATTATTAATTACGACGCTGTATGCTAACACATCACTTATTCACGAACAAACCATGGGATTTTTCGTATTGAATCAGTAATAGCAAGACTACTAACGATGATAACTACAAAATGGTTAACACCTCCTGGAATAATCAACTTCGAGAATAGTACACCGACCTCAAACCTAGAGCATTCAGATCATACTTCATATGAATTCTCTGAATGGACTTCTCCTTTTCGATCCTTATACCATAAAGATATTCGTAGATCAGCCTTAGATATTGTCTGGCTTGTTGCCGTGGAGATTGAGTTACGAAACTTAGACCAAACACATGCATATCTTGACAATATACATACCATTCGATCAGACCCAAGAAACGAATTCCCATGTAATCTTTTGTTATGACATCCTAGGGCAACATAAATGCGATTTGTTGATTTCCATGAGTGTTCATGAACACCGTGACTGGTAAGGGGTACCCAGCTTCTAAACGTAAGCTGACAGGATTGCCATCTTCTGGTTAACTTCCAAAGCTAAAACTCGCTTTCTGGGAAGCCAATGCAATGTGACTGCGGGAAATCTGTCCGATCAAATGGACAGTTTCAGAAGACTTGTTGCTTGTGCAGCCTAGCCTTCTTCGTAAGAACTGTAGCTACCACGGCTCATCTTTCTTTATCCGAATACATTTCTAGCTTTGGACAACCCTGTAACAAGTAGCAGAGACTCAGTGCACACAGCAAAACTAACTCTGTACATTACCTCGAAAAATCGACTATCAACTTTTCAGCTGCATTTGTCCATAGAACATGAATCGTTCGTTGCGCACAGACAGCAGATATTTTGATCGGCGATCAGTGCAGTCCACTGCCAGACGTTTTATTATTGGTACTGACCCAAAGATACCATTATATAAACATCATATAAAGTCATCAGTTAGTAGTAATACAATTCAACCTTCAATTTATTTGGGAAATAGCCAATCACTCAGTCTACAGGGATAAAATGGTGATCAAACAGCAGTCTATTCATGGATCCAAGGGTCAACGGCTTGTTTATATTGACATAGTTCTTGTGGAGTAAACCATAAGTTGATTTCCCTGTTAGCACTTTCAGTTGAGTCTGATCCGTGGACAACATTTCTTCCTACATCTTGGCAGTAGTCTCCCCTTATTGATCCAGGACAACTTGCTTCAGGTTTAGTAGCACCTAACATTGTACGTCCGTTCTCAATAACCTAAAGTAAAAAAACATAGTGGAAAATGCATGTGCAGTAATACGCAACGAAGAAATTACAAGTGTTAAAGGTTAGAAACTTTCTCCATTGAATAAAAACATAGTAAATATGATCGACAGTGAGGGGATATTAGGCAAACACTGAAATAACTGTGGGACTTGTTCACATAGAGTGAGGTTTAATGAGTTACAGTTGAGTCATACTTCTGATACTGTTTGCTTGATGTAGCAGTCCTGATGACGAAACTTTTAGGATTAACGGTTTAGTGATCTTCTTACATTGAAGTTAAGAACGGCTTCTATATCTAGCTTTCATTCTGCTGGTATAAATCGCCTTAGATGTATCACTACAAAGTTGTTACATGAGAAACGAACAGAAAAAGAAGGACGGTTGGTGCTAACATGAAACTTAAATTTGATTTTAACGGCCTGTCGCAGCCGTTGAGTTGTATAAAAAGCACTTCGGCTTATTACGGTATCACATTGGGCATATATGTTCAGTTGAAATTCGTAGTGAAGACGGGGAAACTGAAGGAGCGGAAAGTGGCAACATATGCAAGTTTTTATCATATGAACCACTGATTCACCTCAACGTTTTTTAATAGTCTATATGCACGCTCATAGACCCAACTCATATGTATGGACAGATGTAACAGTAACAGTACGCATTATCATTAAAAATAAGACTTCTATGATAATTAAAAGTTTATTCCTTCGGATTCGATTTTATAAGTATGTTTTACTTCGCTGCACAACAATCTGGGTGATCTACGTTTTGAGACCATTTACACGGATCCGGGTCCTGAGCAGTCTGATCTCAGAAGGATATTTATCGTGCGAATTTCATCCCTGCGTAATGAAATATATTTTGCCTCAAAAGAAAACTAAGGACACCTCTAGTTGAAACAAAGCATACTAGGAAATTTTCGTACATGTCAAAGCTTTTGTTTGAGTTGGCAAAACTTTCCAGTTCATATACAGATGATCAAATTACAAAGCCTGAATCGTGTTGTGAGCCTTCAAACTAAATTGAGGAGTGAGAACAAGAAAAAATATGAACATGTTTTTGCCTTTTCGTCGTATTCGCCTACACAACCATTGACTACAACTCTAAAAGGATGCATAAAATAAAGCTTCCTACCCTATTACAAAAAGCTAAACGCTTGGCTGCAGCTATTGTAGTAAGAGACTTCAGCGATCAAGTTGGTAGTTTAAACCAGAGCGATAGACAATCAGGTGCGTATTAGTGTTTAAGTTACATGAACAGACAATGGCAACTAGCAGTCTTAATTATGCTAAGACAGCTACTTGTACACAGCAAGCACCAACTTCAAGTATAGGGACAGTGTTTGAAAGGGCAACCCCCACAACCGACAAATTGATCTTATACCCATCAGCGATCACTCAAGGGACCCGACATAAGACCTTCGGTTATTTCGGAGGACATGTCTATACTGAACACCATCTAACATGATGACGCCGAAGTGATGCCAACTCAGATGCGGGTCGACATTATTTAGTCATGATATCGACGAGTGATTAGAATAAAATTGTTAAGGCTCTATTGAACTGACATATACTCGGAAAGCCACTACGTAAGGCTACAAACACAATAAGGTAACCAAGTGGTGGCAACTCGAACTGATGTACGTACGTACGAAGTTCTACGTTGTTACTGACTGACTGACCGACAACCACTCATTGTTTCAGCATATAACATGACGAAAATCCTTTTATGGTAACTACAGAAGAGTCAGTCTGACATAGATTTTAAAACTTAGCAATCACCCAAGGCTTTACTAGGTCTCATGAAGAGCAAACCTGGGAAAACCGGGCTGGTCTCAGACCTGGTGTGGGTAAAATATTCGCAATTTGCCACGTCCACATACAGACATACCTATGGACTCACAACCACGGTCATACTTATTAGCCTTAAAGATCCATTTTATTTTATTGATCATAAAATCTTGTGCAGTATCTCTAAAAGCATAACACGGTAAAGTTAGGATTTTACAGGCTCTACTCGAACAATACTAATGGAGTCAGAGCTCATGGAGGGCTGTCATTTGAAGTGTTCATCGAAACTGTCCGCTTTCTTAATTTTAATTCAACTGTCATTGAAATAATCTACGAATTCCTATGACCTTGGGGAAAACCCTAAAATCCGGATCATTTGCAAATTGGAGACATCTGGGGAGATGAGAAATATAACGTTTTTGCAAAAGGTATCGCCTTGAGTTTTTACTTACCTTACGCCCTTCGAATACCATTGGTACAACAGGTCCAGATGACATATACGCAACTAGTTTTGGAAAGAATGGTAAAGATTTGAGTGCCTCGTAGTGAATCTGAAGAAGCTGTTCTGAGGCATGCATCATCTTAATTGCAACAAGCTTATAGCCTCGCCTTTCAAATCGTTGTATAATCTCCCCAACAAGACCTCGTTGGACTCCATCAGGTTTGACCATTATGAACGTCCGTTCCATGATATGACGACTACCTCAAGTGAATTCGCGCCCAACTGATGAACAATAAAAGTGTATTCGAACAAAATCTCGACAATCGTTTATAGACACATGTACATTTTTCATTATGACTGTAGTAGTTCTTCGCGTTTCGGTTCCATACAATAAAACTGTTTTGACGTTCGTGTTGAAATTTCTGACTAAGATGTTAGTTGACAGTTGTTGATGGGAAATGGATGACTCTGAAACGCATAACAGTAGGAAAGATAGCCAAAAATAATGCCCGTTTACTTGGTAAATCCTTGCTGGACTCAATGACTACTTCGCCAAAGGCCCGAAGCAAAGCCTCGTCAAACACTATTGTGAATCGCTCGCTCAACTCCCATGACTTTGTTACAATGAAAACTAATTGTAAGATGCAGGATCTAACATAACGATCGAAAGCCGTGAACACGATTTCTAAAGAAGTTAAGTCTCTTCCTAGTTTAATTATTTGGACCATAGAATAGTCGAAAGACAATGACCCTGCTAAAATACATGCACACGATCTGCGATTAGTGGAATCTGTGATAAGAAATGTAGTACCTGAAGAGGTTTCAGGGGTACATATCACGAACGTAGTACGACTCGGTAAATTGGTTGGAGGCGAGGTCCAACCAAAAAGGATTTTGAAGTTGGTTCTCGGGAATTTTGAAGAAAGAGGTAGAATATTGAATAACGCACAAAACCCGTGATTCAAATATTCGTATGCGACCAAATTGGACGCTTGAGGATCGAGTTAAGTGGAAGAATGCTCTTACGGAGTTAAGAACTCAAAAGTCAAATGGTGAAACCAACCTTACCATTAAGGGTTTTCGGGTAACCAGGTCTTGGAAGCCAATGCTTCCGAGGCCTATAGGGGTAGAACGAATGATTCCCAAAAGTGTGTACTACACGGACGCCTGTAGTCTTGGAAACGAAATGTCCGAGCTAAGTCTGATGGTGGATGAACTAAGTCCCGATATAATTATTGTTACAGAAACTTGTTTCACCGTAGATATAGAATGTTCTCCCATCATTACAGGCTATATCTGTATTAGAAGTGATAGTTTTAAGTCCCAAGGGGGAGGCATAATTTTATACGTTAGTAAACACTTTCGTATATAATCAGTCACGTCGGAGGAGCATGTTAGTGGTACATGTGAGGTAGCATGTTGTAAAATTAAATCTAGAAATCAGTTAGTGACTGTAGGAGGAATATACCGTGGCTCGTGTTGTCTCGCTGACGACTTTATCTTAAAACGCATCTGTTCTCGGAGTATGGCAGAATGCTGTCTTCAACGCACATCATATCAACTGAATAGAGCTTACAGCTCCGGGCGGTGGTTCCGATAGCGACGTTTTATCAACCATTATTCAGTGTGCGCCTGTACAATGTATTGAGAAACCGACACATATTGACTTGAAACATGATTCGTCACTGCTGGACCTCGCCTTCACCCACCACTGTGAGGATGTCTTTGATATTCAGCACCTTCTCCCACTAGTGAACAGTGATCACGTTATAATTCACTTTAAGTTTAGGACACGTGGTATACAATTTGAATCAGTTCCACCCCGTCGGAATATCTGGCGAGCTAATATTCCGGCAATCAGAGACTTTGCTATCTCAAGTGATTGATCAGTCGACGTGGATCGATCGATCGAAGACTAATTGAATAAGTTTAGGACTACATTTGAGTCCGTAGCCTCACCGTTTATCCTATGGTCAGCATGTAAGTTATCACATTGCTCTCTATGGATTAACAAGGAAACCCGGAAGCCGTTAAAGCGTAGGAAACACTTCTGGGACTTATTCTTGTTGACAGTTCACGCATTACTTGAGCATCAGTACCGAAAATTCCGGAATATTTGTAAGAAAACCATAGCTAAATCCCCGACTACTTAGGAACGACAGTTGGCATATGATAGTCGCACTTGTCCGAAACAACTGTTTTCGTATGTTAAATGGCGAATAAAACGTAGTGATGGTATTCCCTCGTTACCGTTACACGAAAATTCGGATTTCCTAGCTGAATAAGATCGGGCAAAAGCTGAGGCTTTTTCAAACAATTATAGTGAAGTCTACTGCTAGGGTTGAAGCTATCACGGCTTCACTTAATCTGCGAACGAGAAGCAAGATTCGATGACCAAAGACCAGTAAGCTAGCTAGTTGATGCGTTCCAGCCCCGTAAACTAGAGGAAGAAGTCCAAGCTTGGATTGAGGAAATATATTCTGCAAACAGTCAGAAACGAGCGATAACAACAAACACAATTCAAAACGTATATATACAGTACAAAACGGCCCTCGGGGAGAGTTACCAAATAGCATACTAAAAGACGCAACTGGCCAATAGCATTTAAGATATTTCCTAGTGGGAAATACAACATGAAGGTGACAAGAGCGCTTTTGGCGCGAAAACAAAGAGATTAAAATTTTATAAATAAAATTACAAAAAAGGTCCTTTCTCAAGTGAATTCGTAGTATGGCGTCGAGTCGCGGCTGACTATGATCATCACTACAGGGAAACTACCTACCAGTTAACCGATAAGATCCCCCGTAAGCAAAATATCAGAAGACAGTTGATGGCTGTAGTCGAGATGTATTTGTTGGCGATCTTGTGGTATCGAAAGAATACCGAGATCATGCCAGATCACAAGCGTGGTTACTGAACGTAACCGAACTCGTGCAAGGTCGCAATCAATGGACGAATGTCTTTAGTGCAGTTAAACAAACAAGTACAGTAAACCAATCACTGGTACAATTGGTTATAATAATAATTGCTTTCATTAAACCAATCGCGTCCTCTTGATAAAAGTAGGTTACTACAAGTTCTGGGGATCTAACGTCCGCAACATCTACTCTACGTTTGTTGTAACAAATACTTGTCCCAATCACGCCGAGATACCAGCCATCGAATCTGTACAGGTGACTGAGGAAACTGTCCTTCCATTGTTAGCTAACCTCAAACCTTGTAAGATACCGAGTCCTGACGTGCTACATGCTTGAAAAGATAATTCCAGTTAAGTTGCGAAGTCACACAGATTCACACAATCTGTCGGCTCCTGAGCAACGTGAGTTTCGTAACAAGCGTTCATGCTCGACTTACTTACTTATAGAGGGAGAGGATCGGACAGCAGCCTTAGATAACGATCTGCCTGTCGATGTGATATTCACAGATGTTAGCAAAACATTTGACAAAGTTTCACACTAACGTCTTATGCAGAAGCTCTCGATCTTCGGGACAATAGGTCCTGTAGAGGAGTGGATAGGAAACGTCTTATGTGATCGCAGACAGAGAATGAGGGTCAATGGAACGCTATCCGATTGGAAGCCAGTCAAAAGTGGTGTAACCCAAGGCACCATCATAGGTCCGCAACGCATGTCCTACCCACCACAAATTTCTTTCCATAATTTTCTCATAGCTAATCACGTGCAATTGAGTTTATTCTCATTTAACTCAGTTAAGCCGTTTTGCTAATTTATTTAGCGGACAAAGTCATCCACAATATAAAAATTTATTGTACCCTTATCATTATTGTGCTTGAATGAAATACGTATGCTTGAATATTGCTTACTGTCTACGCATTTATTCACTCTGCTAGTCTCAAATTAACATAATAAATACAATAAAATGTTCAGCAACAACTAGGGCTCACATTTTATTATGGAAATAGACACAACCGAATATGGGCATCATTATCACCCAAAGACTATTCATTTACTTTAAGGTTACTGCAGTTTAGTGCTTAAATGTTTCAAAGCTGTTTCTCACTGAAGAACCATCATAGAATCAAACATCCCAACCGTCAGTGAAAAAAAACACGTGTTACATCAATTGAAGATATATATAGTAATTATACTAAAGTTTGATAGTCATTGACTGCATCATTGTACAGTTCATAATATTCCTTAATGAGATGTAGAAAAGGGACATCAATACCAACTGCTTCCTTCTGAAAGTTTTAAAACAATTATCACAAAATATCATATGTTTAATAAACGCGCGAAGAGATTTATGATGGTTTACGGTGAAACTTGAAGAAATGTCTGTAAAATATTCATGACGTTTTGATCGCTGTTTATAGAGACAACCTACTGAAGTTAGTACCTCATTCTAAAAGAATAAAACATTCTAGTGCAAGCCGTGAAGGCTGCGAAATTGTTACTAGATCAAGGTAAATATCGAACATCTGGAGTTCCTTTTGCTTTCGGATCACTAATTTATTTTTCGGATGATTGCTTGTGAAATTTCGGGGAATCCAAGTATGAACTCGATTCTAGAGAAAATTTGGGGCTATTGGAATTGTGGAAAAACAGATTATGGGCAGCGCAAGTGTCTGATTTATGGGGAATTTTATAAATATTTTGAACATTCAAGATAGAAATGGGACAATTGTATTGTTAGACACAAGAAACATCTTGAAGGAGGTAAGGTTAGTGCATCCTAAATATTTTAAAATGAAATTTCATGACATACGTTCGCGTACTTATTTCCACCAACAAAAAAGTAATTATTGACCCCTAAATAAGACCTCGAATTGTCTTATAGGTATACATACAAAATTCCCTAAAAAATCACCCAATTTACTTACAATATTAAAAGATTTGTCAATCTCTGTAAGGCACCACAAAAGTCACTTAATCATTAGAACGGACACAAAATACTTTGGGACAAGTCAATCGCTCTCCAAGCTCCATTACTAAAATCTGTACCCTGATGCTGACTTTCGGGCAAAACACCGGAAAAATGCATGATACGTTTGGTTCGTAAAATCGAATATCTCTTTATATGTATCCCAAGTAGTATATATATCATAGAATGAGGCGAAAAGCAGTTTACGTCTGTCAGTTTTTTGTTACCAACGCTAGCGAATATAACCGACTAGATAACAGAGATAAATAAAAAGAACGCTTCTAGCAAAATATCAACTCATTGCACACATTTGTACATCAGTTAACAGTACTTGATCTTGATGACCATTGTATACCAGTAAAGGTTGCTAACTCTGATTAAACTCGAATAATTCAACACTTCGAAGGTGTAGTCGTGAACACAGGCAAATCCTTCTGCCAGTATTTAATGTATCGACAATAATTATCATAGAATAATAGTGTATGTATGTACATTCGGGCATTCAGAAATCCATACTTCACAAATTTTCCATTAGCTATTACGGATTCATTGGAATTTCGAATGGGTCGTTGTGTAGTGGTTCTAAAACCTGAATAGTTTTGATATTTTATCTTTTGAATTGTTTTGGATTCATGTTTGCACTCTTTTAAGTACCAGTTATCATCTTTCCATCACTATTCTGCTTTTTTAGTGAGATACTTGCTCTGATATGCTCATCCTTGTACCCTTTAGATTTTCGTCCTGGCTGAGTTATTTTACTTCGCCACTTTCTTTTAAATAAGAAATTCATCTGTTAGATATAAACCTGCTAACAACTGGGATTTATGGTAGCATATCAGACCAGATAGATGAATGTATTAAAAAACTTAAACTCCGAATGACTCACGATATGAGAATACATATTTAAAAGATGTTTTCCGAATCAGTATGTACTACGAATGGTGCACACTAAATGCCATATAAACCGAAAATAAGGACTTACAGCAGAAGTTTCGAAATACGGAATGCTTAGATCATCCGCTAACCCTTGGGCTTTTTCCACATTGTTGATCTGCTTCTCTTTCAGGTCTGTTTTATTGCCCACAAGAACGACTAAAAGCCAGGTATATGATAAGAAAGTACTCTTACCCGGTATACGTATATTATTAGGTTTCCGTAATTCTCTCAGGATAAGCTTTGCACTGGAGAAACTTTCCTGGTTAGTTACATCAAAAACAACAACGATAAGGTTGGTCATATTAATCTACCCTTATAAAAATAATTAATGTCCTACATAATGATTCATGGGATCCTGAAAAACTTCTTTGCCTGGGATATTATATAAGAACAATTCCTAGGAAATAAGTTCTTTACTGTTCACTTTACCGCACGATGCTGTCATCCACCTCTGGTATTGTCATTGTTTTTACAGCGAATTCAACCGTCTTGGACTGGAGTTCTTAATGTTATTTGAATAATCATAGCTACCATAAGGTAGTTCTTTGGGAAGTCCCGGCCACCACTACAAAATGATTGAACAATTGATGTTTTTCCACAATATGGGCTTCCTAAACACTTAAATACGATCACTGAACACCAACCAAGGATATGACATTTTGCTCTCAAACATTCGTGCATTTTTCAAAAGTTACCGTTGTGATGCTACGACAACCAATGACCTTGAACTACTTTTCGGTCAACGAAGAAGCCGCCTGTGAAAATAGTTATGAAAATAAATACAAATATGACCATTGTTACGAGCTGGTGCAAGTCACCTGGTTTCTTTGGGCTAAGTTTTTAGGTCTTGTTGGGGACGATAGATCCCCAAACTCTTATTTTAAATTTTATCGCATCGATCAACTTATTGGTTAAATGCTTAAATATTTGTATTGGGGTCAATTGATGAACTGATCGATTAAATGTTTGAATAGCAGTCAGTTGATGAACCTATCAATTAGATGTGCAAATAGGTCAATTGATGAACTATCGATTAAATGTGCAAATAGGTCAATTAATGAACTCATTGATTAGTGTTTAAAATTTTCTATGGCAATATCGATTGTAAATATTTGTATAAATACGCTTGCTTGCTGCTCTCTTGCTCGCTTGCTTGCTCGCTCGCTTCTGGCTGTTGTAGAATATATTTTCCATAACAAGCCTGGACTTTTTCTCTGGATAGCGGGTCTGGGACGCGTCAATAGTTAGATCACTGGTCTTTGGTCACTGAGTATTGTTCTCGTTCGCAGCTTAAGTGAACTCGTAAAGTTTCAAACATAACAATTTGGCGACGGAGATTTCGGAAACATGGATCCTTCTAAACTTGAATTATTACTCGAGCAGCAGATGAAACTTATTCAAATGTTAGCAGATGCAAAGCTTACGTCTAATACCCAAACAAGCAGTTATAATCCTACTACTACTGCACCATCAGTTGATGGTATGGATAACAGTATTTCCGAGTTTCATTACGATCCAGAATCCAATGTCACGTTTGATATGTGGTTCCGACGTTACGAAAACTTATTCAAATTCGACTTTGCTAATCAGGATGATGCTTGGAAGGTCCGCTTGCTGCTTCGAAAGTTGGGTCTTAGTGAACTAGACAAGTATTGCAACCTAATCCTGCCTTTAAACCCACGCGATCGTTCATTCTCCGACACTGTTCAGTTATTGAGCCAACAATTCGGAGACAACTCCTCACTATTCAATGCGCGTTACCGATGTTTGAAGCTCACTATGGACGAAGATGATGATTTTCTCACACATGTGGGTATCGTCAACCGAGAATGTGAACGCTTCCGGTTGAAGTCGCTTACTGAAGACCAATTTAAAGCACTCATTCTCATCTGCAGCCTTCAATCGCAGAAGTTCAGTGATATTAGAACACGTTTGCTAAGTCGATTGGACCAAGAGCCAAAACTAACTCTTAATGATATTGCAAACGAATATCAACGTCTAATCAATCTACAGCGTGATACTACAATGGTCCAGCGTGGTGGTTCAGATCCTTCCGGAATTCATGTAGTCCAACAACCACACAACTCGCATAAATCTAGTTCAGGTCGACAGACAAAAACAAATCCTCTTGCTCCATGCTGGCACTGCAGTGCATGGCATTTTGTTCGATACTGTCCATATAAGCAACATCGGTGCAGGAAATGTAATGCGGTGGGTCATAAAGATGGGTTTTGTCAAAAAAATAAGCCGAGCAGCTTCAGAGGTACCAGAAAACCTACGCCTAGATCCAACACGAATTCGTTGAGTTTAATAGCAAGCTGTGAGAACTCAACCCCAGTTGAGAGGAAATTTATTACCCTTAATATTGATGGGCATTCATCTAGATTGCAAATAGATACAGCATCAGATGTCACTATCCTCTCTCTTAAGACTTGGACCAAAATGTGCAGCCGAAACTTGCAGTGTACAACGCAAAAGCCTCGTACTGCGTGTGGTAATTACCTTCACCTCTTAGGACAAATGGAATGTACAGTTACTTTCCGTGATTTTACATTTGTTGGGGTATGCTACATAACGCCAGCTGATCTAAATTTGCTCGAGTTAGATTGGTTCGATCACTTAAATTTAGCTGATATCCCGTTGAATACCATATGCAACCGGGTATCACAACCCCAACTACGACAACAACCACACGACTTGGAAGCATGTACAAGGAACCTAATGACGGAGTTGTCAACTAGAGAACACCATACGGCCAGCGAAGATGTAGTTATTACCTCCCTATTGACAGAGGACTACGCACAGTGTCAGCAAGCAGCCAAGTGTAACACGGAATTACTGCCGGTCCCATGGCCACAGCCTGAGTATTCCTGGTCCAGGATACATACCGATTTCGCAGGCCCAATTAATGGAATCACCTATCTAGTCGCTGTTGACGCCTTTTCGAAATGGCCAGAAATTGTGCCTCTTTCAGTATGGTCAGCCTTTCATCTTTGCTGATGACCTGAAAGTAGTATATTTATTCTCTTCTCCTACGAAAGAAAGCTATATTTCAGCGGTAATCCAAGAGGAAATAATCGAGTTGTACGAATGGACTGTTTCGTGGAATATGCCACTTAATGTTGACAAAAGTGGATTTATTCACATTGGTCGCTGTCTTAGCTTAAATCTGACTGTACACACATACACTCAAATCTCTCAACACTGTTCGTGACCTGGGTTTAAGATATAGCAACAGTATGAACTTTTCTGAACACATTATATATCAAGTATCCAAAGCTAGAAAGCTCATCGGATTGATAATGATAAACTTCAATAATATCGAATCGAGATTGTTACTATACAGAAAATGTATCTTACCCATTCTTGAATATGGTATTTTAGTTTACAGTAATTGTAGACATAATGATCTGATTAGAATTGAAGGTGTTCAAAGAAAGTTCACTAAAGCTGTTCTGGGGTATTCCGATAACAAAGACTATTACCAAAGATGTCAACAACTCAAATAAGAACCTCCGTGGATCAGGCGTATCAAATTAAACCTTGTATTTATCTACCGGCTTATTAACGATTTTTCCTACTCTTCGGTATCCACCCCTTCATACTCTATAATATCATCCCACAATCAACGCAAATTGGAAAATATTTGAGCGATTCCAAGAACCCACACAGACTTACGCCAGAATTTTTCCCTTATTCGCTACTCAACCATGTGGAACAGACTGCCAGTGAACCTTTGTTGCAGTGAAACTACAATCTGGATCAGAAGTCTCCTTGATGATGTTCTTTCCGTAAGTGGATAGTGTCACCTATTGAATATTAATGTATTCAATAATGATTTATACAAACAAGGTCCATCACCCATCTAATTGATTGAAAAGCAAAATGAAACATTTGAAACTTTTCACGTCTATTTTATTCTCTTTCTGTTCATCTTAATATATGAAGTCTGCTTTTGTTCGTATTTATCATTATTACCGTTATTAATATCATTATTAGTTCCCCGTCACATTGGATATTCTTTTTATCTCTTCTTATCCTTCTAAACATATTTAACTCCAGATTGTCCTTTGAAATTAATTGTGACTTTCATAGCATCATTTATAATTATTATTGCACAAATATTTTCTATTAATATCCGGTTTCACTCTGTATACTATTACATAAATCTGAATGTATTCATCCGAGTGCATTGAAGGATTTTTATTTCATTTTTCTCAGTTGCTAATTTACTTCTGAGGTCGATATTCATTACACAATTATTATCCTTATCATGGATCAAAACTTTTCACTAAGTGTTCACTTCTTTTCTCTCTCTTCTTTCCTTCTAAATAAATATTATTCTTAAGATTACGAAGTTTGTAATTAAAACAATAACTTGTGTTACACTTAAATTAAATTCTCAGACCCGTTTTATCTTCACTATGCATATATGACTCATACATATTGATATTTTATTATCCTTTTCATTTAATTGTGACTTTCATAGCATCACTCTAAACTATAATTGCACGAACATTTATTCTAGCGTCATATCTTACTACCATTATAAGTTATGTTTTCTTAATTATTTTTTGTTACTAATTTAACGATACACACATAGTCGTTTATTCTTGCTCTGTGTTCGTAAACATCCCCATTAGACTGTTTGCGTATTTCACGTCTTCTTTATTTCTATTCCCTTATTTTCTCCATTTCCTTCTTTAAACTCAATTCAATATTCTTCTCAATTGCACAGACTAGATTTATTATTATTAATATTCTACTATTATTGCTCTAAATTTTTTTAAATGGCAAGTATAATGCTGACATTATTGAAAATTGTGGAATATTGCATTTTTCGAAGAAACCCGAAATGGTTTCTTCACAACACTTATGTACCCATAAGATGTTTTTGAATAATAATAATAATAATGTAGATGAATAGTGTTCAAAACGATGTAAGAATAAGGAGGATACTTACCATGTGGTCATCGCTTCTATGAAATGCCAACGGAGAGCGACCTATGTATGTTACTGTCAGAGGGCATAGACAGCAGTGACAAATTCTATGGAGGGCCAGACGAACCATAACTTGGTTTTCGTTCGGATGAGTCGTGCTGCACATCTCATATGACAACTAGTTAGCTTTCACTACATGCGCTTAACCATATCAACCAGCATTCAAATACGGCTTCGTATTATTTCATCCTCCATAGGCTTGTAGTGGGCGTCGAGTTGCAGTTGCCTATGACCATCACTACAGATCGATTACTTGCTGATTACCAGGCTAAACCCCTTCGTAGGACAAACATTAGAAGGCAGTCGTAGGTTGTAGTTAGGATGCATTTGTTGGTGATCTCGTGGTGTCGAAATAATACTGAGATCGTGTCATAATCTGCAAGCAAGACTACCGTGCGTATCTGAGTGCGTTCAAGGTCACAAAAAACGGAAAAAGTGTTTTTGGTACAATTAAACAAAAAGGTACAGTAAAACAATCACTGGTACAGTTCGTTATGAAAATAAATGTTTCCATTACACCAATCGTGTTCCCTTCATAGGAGTAGATCACTATAGGATTCAGGTCCTTTGTTCGAGAACTGTTTGTGGGAAGTTGAACTGATAATCACTGCGTACGTGTGGTATTTCACAATTTTTGGTCTGGAATAGAAATAGGATGTATCCAA